CAAAACAAAAATGATCGGATTCATTCTTCCTCTCTTTTTCTCGATCCTTATCGATCGGGAATCGGATTCGTTCATTTGTTCGTTCATTCCTTTCTTTCGATTTTTATCGATCGAGAATCGAAGAAGAAAGGAAGGAAGGAATCGGTGAATGAAACAAAGGTGATTCATTCATTCGTTCATTCATTCCTCTCTTTTTTTCGATTTTTATCGATCAGGATAAAAAAAAATCAGATTCGTTCATTCATTCCTCCTCTCTTTCGATCCTTATCGATCGAAGAAAATCGAAGAAAAGAGGGGAGGGGAGGGAAAAATTGGTGAACGAAACAAAGATGATTGGATTTGTTCATTAACTCGTTCACTCTTCTCTTTCTTTCGATCTTTATCGACCTAGAATCGAAGAAAAAAGGAGGGCAGAGAAGGAAGAAATCGAATCACCTTTGTTTCGTTCATTCATTCATTCAATCTTCCTCTTTTTCTTTCGATCTTTTTCGAAGAAGAAAGGAAAAAAGGAAGAGAAAAATCGGTGAACGAAACAAAAGTGATCGGATTCGTTCATTCATTCCTCCTCTCTTTCTTTCGATCCTTATCGATCGAAAATCGAAGAAAAAAAGAAGGAAAGGAAGAGAAAAATCGGTGAACGAAACAAAAGTGATCGGATTCGTTCATTCATTCGTTCATTTATTCTTCTCTTTCTTTCGATCGGGAATCGAGTTTCTCGTTTGTTTTCCTCGACGATGAAATTTGAAATTTGTCGTCGCGATAATACATTTGGCGGAACGCAATTTTTCTTCTTTTTTCCTTTCCCCTCCCCTTCCCTCCCATTCGAGAGACTTCATTTCCAGGGAAAATTGAGTTTGAAATAGCGGCGGGGGGGTCCGCTAAACGGGGCTCGATTTAGAATTACACAGCTAAATGCGCGTGCGCTCCATGAATTTTCAAACTCGATTCCCCCCTCCTCCCCCCGTGGAAACGAGAAATCCCTCTTCTTTTTTTTTTTTTTTTTTATTATTCCTCCTCCCTAGGAAAAATCACCGTACGCCGATACGACGAGGATCGCAAGTGAATCGATAAACATTTTTCACGCGAACTTTTGCGCACTTTCGAACGTTTTAAGATAATAAGAATATATAGATAAGAAGATTGAACGCCGTTTTCCGTTTCCTCTCTCTGTCTCTGAATGGCGAAACGTAAGTACGTTTAAGAAGGGAGCGGAGATAAATATCGATCCCAATCTAGTTTAGTTACGGGGGAGGTTGATGGCCGATAAGAGAGACAAAGAGTGGTGAGTCAGGGGCACACAACTTTTCGGTCCGGATTAGATCCCGCAATCCCAAAGATTTCTTTCTTGGATAAGAGTGGAACACGAAGTAACACGATCGAGTTAGCAACTCGTGTGTGTGTGTGTGTGTGTGTGTGTGTGTGTGTGTGTGTGTGTGCGTGTGTGTGTGTGTGTGTGTGCGTGTCTGTGTCTGTGTGTGCGTGTGTGTGTGTGTGTGTGTGCGTGTCTGTGTCTGTGTGTGCGTGTGTGTGTGTGTGTGTGTGCGTGTCTGTGTCTGTGTGTGCGTGTGTGTGTGTGTGTGTGTGCGTGTCTGTGTCTGTGTGTGCGTGTGTGTGTGTGTGTGTGTGCGTGTCTGTGTCTGTGTGTGCGTGTGTGTGTGTGTGTGTGTGCGAGAGAGAGCGCGAGAGAGAGAGAGAGAGAGAGAGAAAGGAAAAAGAAGAGAAAGAGAAAAAGAGAGAGAGAAAGGAAGAAGAGAAAAAGAGAGAAAGAAAGGAAGAAGAGAAAAAGAGAGAAAGAAAGAGAAAGAAAGGGAGAAGAAGAGAAAGAAAAAGAAAGAAAGGAAGAAGAGAAAAAGAGAGAAAGAAAGGAAGAAGAGAAAAAGAGAGAAAGAAAGGAAGAAGAGAAAAAGAGAGAAAGAAAGAGAAAGAAAAGGAGAAGAAGAGAAAGAAAAAGAAAGAAAGGAAGAAGAGAAAAAGAAAGAAAGAAAGGAAGAGAAAAAGAGAAAAAGAAAGGAAGAAGAAAAAAAAAGAGAAAGAAAGGAAGAAGAAGAGAAAGAGAGAGAAAGAAAGGGAGAAGAGAAAGAGAGAGAGAGTAATCGGTGGATTCCTCCCCTTCCCCCTCCGAATCACCGAGTTGGAAATCTCGCGATGGGAAAAAATCTGGAAATCGCTTCATCCATCCGGCCAATTTTCCGCGATAACGTTGGATTTCGTGGATTCCATCATTCCCCCATCCCCCCACCCCCAATTCAGATGCAAATTATCGCTCGTCACTCCTCTCCCTCCATATTCCTTCCTATCTCCCTCTTTCTTTCGGGGAAGGTGTCTTCTTCTTATCGATTCGAGATCCAACTCGACTCGAGTAATGGGATGTATCCATTTGGATTTGATTTTTTTATCACTCATTTCCACGTGAAAATTAAGGGATACGATTTGACTAAGATAAAGAATATGATATTCGTGAGTATATTGAAGCAGAAGATTGCAAGTTTATAATTTTGGAACTCTATCCATTTTTAAGCGTTCTCTAAAAACACGAGGCGTATATACACTCGTGTAACGATAACATTAGAATTTTCTAACGAAATTGCGCCGATCCCTTCAAATAAAAATCCGCAATCCCAATCTTGTTAAAGCGTTGTTAACAATAAGGGACATCGCGAGCAAGATCGTCCACAGGGCTAATTTCTCTTTATCCGGCAATTGGAAGGGCGAAAGAAGTCTTGGGGGGAGAGGAAGATAAGGGCGGAAACGGGGCTTTCGTGACCGTGAGAACGGGGAGATTTCGCGGTTAACGAACTTCCAACGCGGGAGAAATCCGGGAGATAAGCGGAGGGGGGTGGTGGAAAATGGTCCCGGAACGACAATAAAGCGTCGTCGAAATTCTGGATTCGCGTGCGCCTTACGCATCGACGATAATTAGACATCTATCTCGCCAATTTCGAGGGGGAATTGGACGAATTTTGTTGCGATCGAGGCGAAGATAATGGAAATCCATTTTTCTTTTCTACGTTTTGTAGATTGTTTATTAATATATTTGCATCCTGTGCGCGCTGTTTTTTCGATATTATCATACAAATTGCAAAGGGAAAAATTGCTTGGAATTACTTCGCTAATTTCCAATGTGTTTTCCGTATCTTTCAGACGCTCCATACGTATATAACTATGTGCATCGATTATTTCAAATACGTCATAACGAAACGATTGATAAAGAAAAACACGACAAGTTTTGTCATTAGTATGACACGTATGCATCGATTATTTTAAATATGTTATAACGAAACAATTAATTTAGATCGCTCTTGTTATCGTCCATATATTAAGAAAAGTATGTAGGCAATTTTGTCATTAGTATATATTTTATGCTTGCGAAAAATTGCTCAAAGTTATTTCGAACTAAGAGACATGCATTAAGTATTTCAAATACGTCATAATGAAACGATTGATTTAAATTTTGTTATCGTCTATATAGAAAGAAAAATACATAGACGATAAGTTTTTTCATTAGTATATATATTCCATTTTTATACTTATCAAAAATCTCAAGAAATTGCTCGAAATTACTTCAGACGCTCTATGTATGTGTTTATACGATAATCGGTAAGTAACTATATAAATCGATTTACGAATACCTCGTAACATAATTGATTTAGATAAAGAAAAATATGTAGACAAGTTTTGAAATTAGTATATTCCTTTTTATATTTATCAAAAAATTGTTCGAAATTACTTTGGTAATTTCCAATGTTTCTATATAAATATGATTATTTTAAATACGTCATAATGAAACAATTAATTTAGATCGCTCTTGTTATCGTCAATATATATAAACAAAAATACGTAGACAACAAATTTTATCGTTTTTAACATACATTTTATGCTTACCAAAAATTATTCGAAATTATTTAAGTTACGCGTTATATATCCACTATTTCAAATATACGTCATAACGTAACGATCGATTCAAACCGCTCTTGTCATCGTCAATACAACAAAGAAAAATAGATAACAAGTTCTCCTGCATACAGTATATACCCAACCGTTCCTCCTTACACTTGTCAAGAATCTTTAACCATTACATATACGTTAAGACGAACGATAAATTTAAAATGAGATAGTTCTTTATAAAAACACGCAATCCTTATCTCCTCCCCCCTTTCGTCACAAATTAATACGAAATTCATCGCAACCGAGGCAACGAGAGCAACGACAAGTCGTCGTTCCTCGGTGCTGTGGGGAGAAGAGCGGGAGAAGAGAAGGGAGGGGAGGTGTATTTCCACCGTTTATTTCCTCGGCGATGCTCGTTTCATCGAGGGGGGAGGGGGGCAGGAGCGGTTGTCCGGTCTCCTTGGTGACCGAAGGGAAACGCAAAACCGAACCGCGCCACCACACACCGCGCGCGCGCTTCGTATCGCCCATCCTCCGTCCCTGCTCCCTGTTTGTATTTCATATTGATAGAGTATTGATACACCCCTTTCCTCTCTATCATAACCTCCTCCTCCTCCTCCTCCTCCTCCTCTTCCTCCGTCGTGACGAGAGCTCGCCATCCCCCCTCCCCCCTCGAATCCCGTAGCAGCGTAAACGAGCATGCCGTTTTAGTTAACGTTTCGAGGCAGGGTCACGTGTTTACTTTGTTCCGCGTTGTTGCACCTCGCTAATGGCGAGCCGGAACGATCTCCGCGCCGAATGGGTTCTCTCTCTGTTTCGGGAGAACGAGATGGAAGGAGAGGAATAGAAGAAAAGAGAAAGGGAAGAGGTATGTGTGTGTATATATACATATGTGTATATATACATATGTATGTAAGGTCAAATCTTCGTCCGTTGGTGTTTTCTTTTTTAGAGGTTATAATAAATATTCCAGGTTTGGAATAGCGAGGATAATTTGGTCTGGGAATAGAAAGGAGGAAACGGGTGGAAAATCCACTACCCGTTTCTTTTCGCGAGACGGGATCATATTATTATTATTATTTCGTTGCGGTGGTGTTACATACGTACGTACGTACCGGGTGTCCGGCGAGGCTCTGCCAGGAGAACTCGAGATCGGCGATGTTGGCCGGGACGGGAACGACGAAGTTCATTGCGTACGTGTTAACCACTCCTTCCCTCACGTAGTACAACTCGGCCTTCAGCCCTGAAAAAAAAAAAAAGCAAAACAAATTGCGACGTCGGTTATCGATCGTAGGCTGGCCGATGATCAATTATGGAAAAGGCGGTACGAGTTGAAAGTCTTCCTTTCTGCTCGTCTTTCCAACGATCGTGCGCCACGTGTAAAACGTCTCCCTACATCGTACAGGGAGGGAGAGGGACGTTGACCAGAATATCGTTTAACACACGCGCGAGCGAAAAACTAATCGTCGATTCGACGATTTATATCCCGACTTTGATAAATGTCCCTTCGTCGCATACCTCCGATAATGTAAAAATATCCAACCGATAGCGACTTCGTCCTCGTCCCGTAAATCCGTAAATCTTCGAGAACGTGGAATCAATTTTTGTTTTTCGATAAGAAAAAAAAGAAAAGAAAAAAAAAAGGGAAACAGAATATTGAATTTTTATCGAAAAATCATAAAGCTGAATCGTGGAATAAGGAACTGTGTTTGATTACGAATATACGGATATTCCATCTTTCGCGATGACGAAAAATATCCAAATATAATTCGCGTCAACGCTCGAATATTAATCACAAATGTCCAGAAAGGAGCGACAAATCGTCAACAGTTTCGCCATCTGGCGGAGCCAGCGCGAGTTAACACCGTGACGTGTAATTACGCGAGAGAGGAGGGGGGGCAAATAATCCATTCAAAACTTGGCCGAGCTCAATTTTCAGTTTGCTGGGCGGTAATTATCCAAGGCAAGGGATACCGAGTTACGTTTAATCTACGTCTCATTTTATCCTTAATCCTTAGTTACAACAACGTTGTTCCGCAAGGATTCCGACCCCCGAGACACCTTGACACTATCGCTTCCCTAACAATCCGCTCCTGGCTCTAAACTTATCCACCGATTACGTTTGCGCGACAAGATCCGTATCTCGATGGTGTACGCGCACGGATAAGTAACCGTGGCTCCCTACTCGAGAGACATCTCTGTTACGTTACACGAAGTCGATTATAGGCGATTCGAGTCGAACGTTACTCGATCTAACGACTTAGTTTCTTCTGACTCCTCTTTCGTGTTTCTTATTTCTACTTTTATTATTGGATTTAAAACAAAAGAAAGAATCGCAAGTTAAATGAAGTTAAATGAAGCGAATCTCCTATTTTCTGCTCCATGCTTCGTTTTACATCGAACGTGTGAAAAAAGAATTGACTATTAATTAAATGGATCGTGTTAACTTCGAGTTAGAACTAAGTGAAATAAAGTAATCTGCTAGATTTACTACTCTCTTTATTGCGCTTTTTATTCGATTTACGAACAATTTATATCGGTTTCTTATAAAAGGAGTTGCGAGTTGTGAAAGTGTGGTTACGCGAGCAAGTGGAGTAGCCGGTTTCGAGTCAGACGCGAAACGGTAGAAGGAAGTAGCGTACGTAAGTAAAAGTCGGGCATAATCCGAGGTATCGGTAACATTCTGGAAATTTAAAATTCGGCCAATTTTATAATATTCTTCTCGTTTGATAGGAAAAAAGAGATTATAATATAGAATCTGCAGACGTGTTGGTTAGATTAATACAAAGTGATACATTCCCGTCGCACAATAGTGAGTCACACGCGTGTGTATCCCCAACTCAATTTGACGTCGTATCAGGCTTGCGATACAACGTCAATCTCTACACTGATTTAATTTAGCGCACTGTGCATTTCTAGAATCAGATTTACCGCCTCCCTTGCACAATGAAATTTCAATTAAAATTTAAATGGAACGTTTCCCAATATAAACGAATATTTTACGTCAAATCCAGATATTCTTATTAACGGTAAAAATATATATATATATATAGAACAATTTTCCAAAAATCTCCATCTAAATCATTTTTTCTTTTCTTTTCGCGTATAACGAAATATATATCCAAATAAAATAACACGAATACTAAGAAATGCACGATATATTCGATCTTTAAACGGAATATAGTAAAAATTAACGATTATTCCTTAACGAATCAAATATATTCAAACAAAATGACGACGAATCGAAAGTATACTCGATCCTCGAACGCGTTTCCCAATATAGTCCAAATTAATTACGATTATTTTTAAGCAATTTTCCTTCAAGTTTGATAAGATACTTCATTTCTTATTCTAAAAAAAAAAAAAAAAGAAAAATAGAAGTGAAGATATAATGAAATTAAACTTTAAAGAATCGAAAGGATATCTTCCAATATAGTCCAGATTAAGCTTTAACCTAATCCAACCTAGTCCAGATTAGTGTTTAAAAATATTTTCGAGCAATTTTCCTTCGATAAAATATTCGATAAAATATCACTTTTCTCGATCCAAATCCTCGATTTCTCCAGTGAAAAAAAAAAAAAAAAAGAAATGGAGATATATAATAAAATTAAACTTTAAAGTATCTGGAATTCGAGCAGTAATAGGTAAAAAAATGTGGAGTGGATTACACTTCAATATAATCCAAATTATTCTTTAATGAAAACGATAAAAGTATTTTTAAGCAATTTTCCTTCGAGTTTGACAAAATATCCCATCCATATCACTTTTCTCATTCCAACGAAAAAAAAAAAAAAAAAAAAACAAAAAAAAAAAAAAAAAAAAACAAAAAAAAAAAAAAAAAAAAACAAAAAAAAAAAAAAAAAAAGAAAAATACAAATAAAAATATAATAAAATTAAAGTACAAATTGAAAGTGTCGAATTCGAGAAAAGTAGAGTTTTAAATTAAATTTCATTATAGTCCAAATTAACAATATTCGTTTTTTAAACAATTCTTCGTTTGACAAACTTTTTTGGATCCAAATCCTACGACTTTTTCTATCGTTCCAATGAAAAAAAGAAAAAAAGAAAAAGAAAGAAATAGTAGATATAATAAAATAAAATTAAACTTTAAAGCACGAATACGTATCTTTCAATATATAGTCCAGAATTATTATAATCCAGAATTATTATAGTCCAGAACGATTATTCTTTAAAAATATTTTCGAGCAATTTTCCTTCGTTCGACGAAATCCCCCCATCATTTTTCACGATCCAAATCCTACGACTTTTTCTACCGCTCCAACGAAAAAAAAAAAAAAAGAAAAAGAAACGGCGCGAAATGGATTACATCCCAATATAACCCAAATTAACGATATACTTTTTCAAATAATTATCCTTCATTCGATGAAATATCCCACTTTTCACAATTCAAATCCTACGACTTTTTCTACCGCTCCAACGAAAAAGAAAAAAAGAAAAAGAAACATAGATATAATATAATAAAATTAAACTTTAAATCACGAATCGAAAGTAAATATATATCTGGAATTCGAGTCTCGCGCAATAGCTAAAAAGACGCGAAGTGGATTACATCCTAAATGCAATAATATACGTTTTCAAGCAATTCTCGTTCGTTCAACGAAATACACCGTCACTTC